TCCTGATCGCTGTGTTTTTTATGTGGGCAAAAAGAATCGAAACAAGTCGTTTTTTATTTTTCTGTCTTGAAAGAAAAGGAGCAGTACGTGAACATAGACAAAAAGGGAGGAGCAGCCAGTTATTTGTTATGTGCAAGTATAGTGTGAACTAAAAACAATGAGGTTAGAAAAGGCAGCAGCGTGGCCGCCCGAAGAAAACCGGCGATCCGAATATCGACCGTGGAGAAGACAAAGAAGAAGAAGACGAAGAGGCTGAGCGAGGTAAAAACGCCCGAGGCCATGAAGAAGAGGAAAATCTTTTATGTACATATTCTCGTAAGCACAATTGACAGTCTAATGTGTGCTATGTATATCTTCTGTATATAAATAACAAGATATTTATCTTATGTTTTTGCATTTTACGTCGTTTGTATATAATAAGTATATCTTCTGTATATAAGTCTGATCGTGTGTGTTGCATGTATTAAACCAAAAAATATACTACAAATATACAGAAAAAACACGAGATGTAAATAACACAAAAAGTAAACAAAAAAGGATTACGAAAAGATAAAATTTTGAGGTTTATTTCGTATATTTTTCGGACTTATATATTTTCTGTATATTATATATATTTTCGATGGGTGTTTATAGCAGCAAGACGAATAATTTTTGTGATCGTGTATATTCTGTACATTTCAGATTCCTTTCCATATGAACGTCTTCCTAAATAGTAGAAAATATAAACTTTCCTTTTTTTTTTGGTTAGTTCAATAATTGTAGGGAAGTTGTTATTTTGGTAACTGATATTTTTTTATTAATCTATAATAAATGCATTTCTTTTAGGTATTCATGCAAATAAAATCTCTCTCCTTGTAGAAATGCATTATCTTTAATATCTTGTGGTTAGTTTAAAATTTCGCCAATTCAATTCTAGTCCAGTTACATATTTACAAATATTGACCTATGGCCCACTACAAATTATCTTTTGCCAAACTGCTTCATGAACTCTATGGAAAAACATTTCATGAAATGGAGGAAGTCCATGAAATTGGGTGGTGTTGATCATTTTCTACAAGTTTTTAGGCCGTTCATTAATAAATTTCTATTTACATATTTATGAGTTTTATATAATTATATATATTTGTATATAAATTCATAAATATATAGATATATATAATTAATATATAATTTTACTGTTTTATGAATAGTTGTTTTGTGGTTTATTTTTATCATTAACTTCATAGTGTTTTTTATAACTTATTTATGAATGGTTTTATTTTGAATGTTGTGTTTTTCTATTAAAAAAATAAAAATAAAAATATAGTAAAAAATTAAAATGAACTATTTTTTTTTTTTTTTTTTTTTCAAAACGAAGAATTTTATAACACAGAAAGAAAAAGAAGAACAAAGTTCAGTCGGACAGCTTAAAACTATTACAACACCCTGCTACCAGACTCACAAAAAATACTGCCCAACTCACAAACTAAAAAATAAAAAACAGAGGAAGCCCCTTTAGGAGGAACCTAGCAAAAGCAGTACCAATGATCATTCTACCAGGCAGTACAGAGTACTGAAGCCCTTAGCTTTTCATTGGACTAAAAAATACAACCTAGCCACTGCAAACAAGCCTAGCTAGTGACAAAGAAACAAAGCAAAGCAAAATAAAATAAAAAAAGGGAAAACTAAGACACAATATTAGAAAACTCTATCCAATCTGAACAGGCATAGTCCACAATAATCTTCTCCTGTAACCAATTTCTGTCAAATATCCATAGGTTTCTTGCCTTCCACAACCACCATAGAATATAGGTGGTTAGTTGGATCCTTTCTTCTGCTTCTTTTACATCATGCATCAGACAAATTTCTCTCCACCAGTCTTTAAAGCTGTGAATGTTTTCCTGCAAACTTTGCCATTCAACTGGAGCTAGCTTCCACACATGCTTTGCTCTAGAGCAGTGGAAAAGTATATGCTCTGTTGTTTCCTCATACTCTCCACAGACTTGGCATATGGGGTCCACTTTCAGTCCTCTTTTACAGATATTATCGCTTGATGGCAGGATCCCTGAAAAACACTTCCAGATGAAGTGTTTTATCTTTTTCTTTATTTTTAACTTCCAACTGATCCTCCTCACTTTGGTAATCCAGGCTGAGTGAGAACTTGTTTCTGGAATATCCAAGTCATGCAGTTTATTTTTAACAAGGAATTCATAAGAGGAAGCAACAGAGAATTTACCCTTTTTGTTTAGACACCAAGAGAACTCATCCTTCAGTTCCATGTTTATGGAAGTAATACTGAGAATTGCTTCACATTCTGCTGGTACAAAGGATTGTCTGAGGAGTGGTTCATTCCATGTATTTTGTCCTGGCATCATCAATTCCCAGACCCAAGTGAGATGACTGTTGTGTTGTCCTCTGTGAACAGGCTTTCTGTTTGGGAGATTTGGTACCCATGGGTGGTCCCAAATTTTTGTACTCTTTCCATCCCTGATTTTAATGAGCAATCCTTGCTGTAGGAATGGTAGCACAGACATCCAGCTTCTCCACAACCATGAGCTACTCTGAGGGGGTTTGCAGTCTAGCATTGAACAATTTGGAAAGTACCTATCTTTGAGGATTTTACTCACCAGCAAGTGAGGTTTAGTGAATACTCTCCAGAGCTGTTTAAGAATAAGGGATTCATTGAAAAGTTTTAGGTCTGTAAACCCCAGCCCTCCATATAATGTGGGAAGAGTCAAAACATCCCATTTCCTCCAGTGCAACCCTTTTGATTGATTACCCCCTTTAGACCACCAAAAATTAGCCATTAACTTAGAGATATCAGAGAGAATATTAGAGGGTAAAAGGAAACAGGACATAACAAAAAGAGGAAGTGCAGTAAGCACAGCTTTAATAAGGACCTCTTTTCCTGCAGTGGAGAGGTACCTATTTTTCCAATTACAAATTCTACTCCTAACTGCATTAATGACAAAAGAAAAAGTTTGTTTTTTTGAGTGGCCAATGCCCAAAGGTAGTCCTAAATATTTAGAAGAAAATTGGACTCGGATACCACTGAACAACCTACAAATAGTATCTATGACTGAGGGGGGAGTATTTTTACTGAAAAATATAGAGGATTTGCAAAGATTTATTTTTTGCCCAGAGATCTGGTAATAACAATTGAGGATATTCAAAATTTCCACAGCTTGCTGTGGGGATGCTTTACAAAATAATAAGGTATCGTCAGCAAAAAGAAGGTGGGTAATGGGGGGGCCATTTTTAGAGATTTTAAGACCCGAGAGATTACCATGAGAAGCAGAGTTTTTAAGAAGACAAGACAGAATCTCGGAGACAATGATAAATAAATAAGGGGATATTGGATCTCCTTGACGCAGCCCTCTTGAAGGGGAGACATGCCCATATTTTTTCCCATTTACATTAAACGAGAAGCTAGTAGTTGAAATGCAGGACATGATCCATGAGACAAATTGAATATGAAATCCCATTTTAACATGACAGACTTGATGCAAGACCATTCAATACGATCAAAAGCTTTTTCCATATCAAGTTTTATAGCCATAAAGTAAGTAGTGCCTGATCTATGTCTATTCAAATAATGAATGGCTTCTTGAGCAATCACCACATTGTCTAAGAGCTGCCTTCCTGGAATAAAAGCTGCTTGATTTTCACTAATACAATTAGAAAGGCAGTTCTTAAGCCTGGAAGCGAGAATTTTTGAAATAATTTTGTAGGCAACACAACAAAGACTAATAGGTCTGTAATGCTCAACTTTCAAAGGAACTTGGATTTTAGGAACTAGAGTAATCATCGTATGGTTCCAGGATTTAGACATAAAACTAGAGTTGAAAAAACTGAAAATAGCTGAGCAAAGGCTGTCTTTGATAATAGGCCAATTTTTTTGAAAGAATAAAGGTGTCATACCGTCATGGCCGGGGGCTTTGTTTGGATTCATGCTGTCCAGAACTCTCTTCACTTCTTCTTCAGTAACAGTAGCCAGAAGCCTTGTGTTCATGCTCTGTGTGATAGTTGGTTGGATACAGTCCAGTAGATTGTTGTTTGGCTCCTGGAACTCAGAGGTAAAAAGGTTTTTATAAAACTCCGAGATGCAGCTCCCAATTTCCCCTTCTGTTTCACAAACTGAATTGTCATTTCTAATTAGCCTAGTGATGGCATTTGTTCTTCTCCTCTGGGTTGTATACGCATGGAAAAATCGGGTGTTTTTGTCACCCTCTTTCAACCATTGGAGTCTGGATTTTTGCTTCCAATACAATTCTTCAGCTTTATTGATGGAATCGATTTTGGACTTTAGAAAATTCCATCTGCTCCAGTCCCTGTTAATCCCCAAAGCTCTAAGATCTTCCATTTCTTGAGTAGCCTCTTTAAGTGCTTTATCATTTTCTGATTTGAATTTTGCACTCCATTTGAGGAGGGCTACTCTTGTGGCAGCAATCTTCTTCTGAAAT